AAATAAAATATCTGACGCATCTAGTCGGTTTTTCGAAAAACGCATATAGATGCGTCAGATGTTTCATTTTGACTGTGTCTGACCTGGTTTTACTCTTTAGACGGGAGTAGCCCAAATGTTGAGTTTCTCATCATATTGAAAAACAAATAGTTTGTTTTCCTAAACAATGATTAAAACAATACTGGATTCGACCTTGCATAATGAATCTTTCTATGGAATATGAGCTGCAAGAAATAATAACGGTCAAAAGTTGTCATCCCGTCATTCTTTCACCACTCATCCATTTTTCGTGAAACTTCTTTCGACAATTCGAGTCAATCTGGGGTGTCTAACGGAAACATTTTCTTTCCTTCACTTGAGAAAACCAAAAATGCTGAAGGATCTGTTCAAAACTGTGATGCTTTTTCTGGGTACTGGTTTTGTAAAATATGTCAAAATTAACCACCACATAGTTTTATCAAACGAAAATAAATAGGCATCTCAATTCGATCGAAGTTATCACAGAAAAAAGTATTAACTCAATCTAGCATACTGTGAGGAAAAAAGGAGCAAACTGCGACTTTTCTGTGTTTACCAGACCTTTTTTCTCCAAATGAAGTGATGAAAACTGATCGTGTATCTATGATTAGATAAAAGAACCAGAAACACATGGCTTACAGAACAGAAAAATTTGTAGATAGTGATTCCGATCTCAAACCCATCGTTTCGTACTATCTTTGTGGAGTAAAAGTGGATGAAAGAATCATCGTACCTGAAAAAATTGTATATCTTCGAAAAATTTCTGCATTTCGCTGTCTGCAACATGACGAAGAGTCAATGAATGAAGTCTAGTAAATCGACGAATATCGAAAATGGATCGGAACAAATTGAGTTGAGTTGGGTTCGTTGGTGAACGAGAAACAATCAATGACATAATGCTTTCAGACTGGATTCGACGAGAAATAAATTTCAAATCCGACACTGATACTGAAACAATGTCAAGTTTAAAACGATTGTAGGTGCTGCTAACCGCATGTAGCTGTTTGCAAACATAACGAAACGAATGAAGAATGACCAATATATCGAGATGATCACAAATACAGTATAGAATTTCGACTGGTAAATCAAGAAGAGATATCGTCGACATCGATCGAGTCAGTCCAAATAAATGTCGCAATGAGTAGTTACTTCTTTTTGCTCTATGCCTTGTGCAATTTCACGTGGCAACAAATTTCACGTTTGTGTGTGCTTTTTCTATTCTGCACCTTCTTGTTATATGAAGGTTGTTCGCTCACCTATATGATGAATCAACCTTTGTGAGCTTCAGTCATAGCTAAAATCAACAAGATCGGTCCACTTATTATGTTTTAGCCAAGATAATGAACAGATAAATTATTGACAAAGACTGTACACATATTTAAATAATTATTTTCTTTTGTGCAGAAGAGATTCAGTATGTAATCGGTAAATGACGCATTTTTTATCTATCAGCAGTTGTTTTGTCTCCAGCTCGCATCATGGACAGAGAAGAGAACTGGTTCCTGTCGCTCAGACATGCAGCTTCTATTTTCCTTTTCCGTTTTGTCTTTTCTTCGTTTATTTCCTCCTTTACTTTCTCTTTTCTCTTTTTTTCTCCATTTTTTTTCTGTCATTTTATCCTTTCTTTCATCTTGTGTGTTATTCCTCTCCAAGCATGAATCATAAACGCCAAATTCAGCTAGCGACAAAAGATGACACTTGCAAACCTAATGGTAGATTTTATTTCTAGCTGTAGGGCCACTGTCTCCTTCCTTTAACTACATACGCGTAGTAAAAATATGGAATAAAATAAATACGTTGTGTAAAGTATTATTTTTATCGACAAAAACTCATCTTCTTTTGAATCGATTGTCTTTTCATTAAATGGGACACTACTCTCCTTCACTCCATTGGCATTGTCGTAATTTCATTTTTTTTGATTGATCTCTATGGTATTTTGAAAAAAGCTTGACGATTCATTGATGGGATCGATTTGTGAATAGTGAAAAGCATGATAGATGGAAAAAGTGCTTATGTTCAATTTTAGTTTTCTCATTTTTTTTTTCTTCAATAATTTATAATAGAATGAACTACATACATAGAAATAATTATTTTTATCTTCCGTCTGCATGCATGTTTGGAAATTTCTTCATAGATTACGATGAAATTCTTGTCATTCAGGTCATTGTAATCATTTGCGTTTCTTCTTTTTTTGTCTGAAATAGCCATTATATCAATGTCGTCTTTAAATTGATTCTGCAAGCAAAAGTGTTGACAAGATGTAAAATGATTTAAATTGAAAAAAAAAGATCGTAGTCATAATAAAGAGCAATGTAGGAACACAACAAGAATCGAACAAAATTGAACGTGCTCTCCTTGTTACGGTCACTACAAAACAGAGATGAATCATTTTTCGATCTAGCACATATGGATCGACGCAGAAATATTTGTTCTATTCTATAAACAAAAAAATCAGTTCTTCATGCCGTCGGCAAGCCTAGTTCTAGATCAAATACTGAGAAGTTAACTTTTTGTGGCAGAATTAGGATTACTCGCTCTATTCGGTTTCCAGATTTCTAGTACAAAAAGTATTGTTAACTATCCGAAAGAGAAACTCTTCACGTATGAATTATTAGATGATCATCGATGGATCATATTCCTTTTCAAACGCGTTCACTTCTTTCGTTTTTGACAGATTGCATTGATATTTATTTTGTAGAACTTTATTAAGTCATCTTTTGCGGCCTTTTCTTCTGTTTCTGTCAAATTTAATCTGTAAAATATGTAATATAGCGTTGCCGTATGAACTATGGACTAAGTTTGATAAACGATCAATCATTGCACTGTGGGCCAACTCTGCATATGTATACGAATAAATCATGTTGTCAGGTGCACATTTTCTTGACTGACTATTAATAGATTCAGCAATACAATTGACGTTGATTGGAAAATATTTTGAAAGAATTGTTCAAGGTTCACAATAACACGTCTTGAACAGGAGTAAGTCGGCCTCTATTGTAAAGTTGTTCATTGAAAACTTATTGGATAGATTTCTGATAGTTCTGGACTTCGTAAGGATGTCAGGATGTACACGTAAACTATCTGTGTGACTGTAAGCACCATTCAAGCAATATTACTCGTCAAAAACGAGTTCACTCCTATTTTCCGTCACTATCGAATGCTAGATGTGATGGAATACGATCAAGTCAATTTGTTCCATTACTCCAGTCTTTTGTCTTTTTTAATTTCATCACGTAATAAAAACTGCATGGAATTTCATTCATAAGCAGAAAAAAAAAGATTTTGACGCTAGCCAAAGTACAGAATTTGACTGAAAAATCCCTACAAAAAAATGTAGCCTAATATAAGGGCTATCCATGAATGTGAACGACAAAACAAAGAATTTTTCGAAGACTTAGATAACATCTAAATGCATCATTATTAGGATGATAAGCAATGATTTGAAAGATGTCTATTCTATAATAGATTCTTTTCTTCAAGGTATCAGTTCAACAATGGATACCCGTGATAGTCTTGATGAGACAGTATTTTCTCAATTGTTGCTTAGCGAAAATTTTTAGAATCATTTTTATTTGAACTTCTCTTCCGAATTGAAATAGCGACGTCCATGGAAGATCTATTAAAATTTTCTTTTTATTGTTTTCATGATTTTCATCATATCTCTATCTACCTTGATAGTTCTTTACGTGAAATCTTCTGTACTATTTGTTAGAGCATCACTTATTTTTCTTAAATATCTATTAGAATTCCCGAGATTGCAAAAAACATAAATTGCTTTATTAATTAAACGCATCAGTTATTTTCATTGTAATTATTATTGGCAGTCTTGTGGATATGATCTGTTGTCATGTCGCTATTGAATTCCTTTTTCCAAACTTCCGTTGTATTCTCCCACGATTTCTCTATTTGACCTGCCTCAACCGAAATCCTTGGAGCCTGATTGATAACATACCCAACGAGACGTAGACAATCAGATACATATTTCGTTGGTTCTTGCATATGAGCATGCCAAATAATTTCGATCTAAAAAGAAAACATTCTTGACAAATTATTAATCTTTGACCACTTACAGCATATGTCGGATGCACAAATTTATATCCATCAGTGGATGGATATGAGTTACAATGTATAAAAATCGTTCGTAGGATTTTTTCAATAGTTGCATCGGTGAAAATCCAAGATCAATTTTGTATGGAGGATTGTAGTTTTTTTTTGAAACACTTTTATACATGAATTGTTTACATAAATCAAGCCAATTATCATCGAGAATGATATCAATTTCAGTAAATGAAAACGGATTTTCGTAATCCTTGGGCGATTCTGATTCAAACTGAAAATGTGTTTGATCCCAATAAGAGTAATTAGGTGCAAGACATGAACGAAAGAGAGAACGATGATATCTCAAAGTCTCTTTTCTTTTCTCTTTTTCGATTAATAAAGAACAATATTGTTCACCAAACCTTTCTTCATAAAATTGACAAGTATCTAGAAAAGCTTGTTCTTTTAGAAATTGTTCAATATCGTCAATTAATAATGAATGTTCGATCACGCGACGAAACAAACGCAGACAATCTTTTCGATACATGTTTGGGCGCAATAAGTGAGTTTGCCAGACAATTTCAATGTCCAATGTGGGCACAAGAAAAATATTGTCTGGAAGTGATGCTTTCAATTGCATGAATCGATAATATCTCGTAATCATTTGTCTCACAATTGCTTGTTGATGCCAATCAACTTCAAAGTCAGATGCTTTTTCCAACAGAGAAATCAGCTCAACAGCTGTTCTATCAATATCAACTGATAGTTCAATAATCCTATTTAAGTTCGAAAAATTGACTTAAGCGAGTTCGATCCTGCTAATTTGATCTTTCATAAAACTTACATGTCTTCTGATGAGTTCGGATGTTCATCGAATCCAGTAACAGATGGTAATTGGATGTTGTCTGTTGGTTCAAGAAAATAGGAGGATGATAAATAATTCGTTAAAGTCCACGAGCATTTTCGGTCTTCTTTAATTCTTGATTGTGCAAATACTTTTCATAGATCCAGTCCATGTAGATTTCTTTGAACGATTTTGAATATAATCTATGCGATGCTATGTTCATATTCAGAATGACAAAAAAGACAAAGTACTTATCACTTACTATTGCATTTCGATTGCCATATTTCATCATGATCAACAGTTAGTTTAAAAGATCGACACACCAATGCAACATTTCCCAGATCAGATACCGAGAGTAATCGAAAGATTCGAATAAGAATCTCGGTTGGAATACTAGCAAATGGCGATTCTGATAAAGCATCTTGTATCTGTTGTACTGACCACGAAGGTTTTACAGTGACTGTAGGTGGAGGGCATGTCTTCTTTTCTTTGTCAGATTTCGGCTCTTCTTCATCGCTACTATCAACAACTGTCGTCATATGCTCTAAAGAAAAAAAACAATTTGATTATCAATTGACATGAAAATATTCATTTTAGTAAAGAACATCAGTAACGGGATCCACCAGCACGTACACTCTTTTGCAGATGGTGACTCTATGATCATCATTCTCCTTTCTTCTTTCATATATATGTATATTGTCCTGTTCAAACATGATGAGTCAGTCGATCGACTGAAACTCCATTACTCATCTTGTCTGTCTTGTCCTTCCTGTTCCACTTAGTTATAAAAGAATAAAGTATATCAAACCCAATTTCTGGTATATGCACACACACACCATTATTCAATCTGTAAACTAATCAAAATGTATACAGCTTTGCAAAGTCAATGTATAAATAGTAAACAGAAGCGTTTGAATTATGTGTTTCTTTAAATTGTTCACGAGAATGCATATCTATCAGAAGTAGTAGTCTCCTGTATGTACCAAGTTTATCGTACAAAAATACGAAAAAGAAGTTAATTCTATCGGCAATGTTGTAAAACTCAAACATTCTGATGTTATCAGGAATAACGATCTGACACAAGCTTAAACTATGGGAAAGATTGATATTTTGCTTGAACTTTATATGATGAAACTTTTAGGAGAAAAGAGGTAATGCAAGAGGGAAATTCTGTTTATTCTTGTTACACAAACTCTGCGAAATTTCTCATTTTGTTGATCGCCGCTTGGATTGTTTTCGATTACGAACTATGATTATATTTTTCTTTCATGTTCCACTGTCTCAAACAACAGATAATACTCGAAAGTAACTCACTGGAATTTGTTTTCCTTCGACGACGAGAGCATAGAAGTGACGTCGATTTGTTGCCCATGATAAATATGGCTCACAACTTTGAGTAGTTATTTCTATTTATGATGTAAACGCATGAGTGCTACTCGTTTGTATTTATCTCTTTCATTATTCACGAAACAAAATGAGTTATACGTGAAAATATGTCGCAATGTTGTTTTTCTTTTTCGTTTCTTCAGTTGACAGATTTACTGCACCTTCTTATATCGAATGTTCTGATGCATAGCAACGGAAAAAAACGAAAGAGAACGGAAGAAACATGAATTATGTTGTGTATGCATTTCTATTCAGCAATAAAAGAAATAAAACAATAACATGACTCAATAGATACATGAGCAAATGTATGGTAATTTATTTTATTTCTGATAAATTTTCGATTTTAATTTATCAATAATCGAATATAACAATGAGAATAATTCATATTGACATTGTATTGGTGAAATAGGCAATGAAGAATTTCTTAAACATGCTATTGAAAAGTATTTTACTACGGTATCTATCAACGTAACGAACATTGGCAATTATTGTTGCCTGTTTATTATTTGAATTTTCCTGATATGTTGGTTTTTATGTTTGACGATGATGATCGAATAAAGATTACAAATGTATAAAATATCAAGTGAAGTTATATACGATTGAAAATCACCTATCGCAAACTATCTTGCGAAGCGACTTGAGAATTTTACTGCCATCTTCTGTAATGCAGTAAGTGTTAAAAGTGATGAAAATAATCAAGTTTATTCAAACAAAGACTAAGATAAGATTGGAAATGATTAATACAAATGTAATTTAATTATGTCATCATCATTTAGTCACTGATTGAAGTAGTTGATTGTAAAAAGTGCAGTTAGATTTGAAAATTAATTAGAAACAATCAACAATTCTTATTGGCGGTGCAAAAAAAAATTGTGACATTTGCAGAAGATATTCATGAGTTCTTTTCTATATGAGCTTGCGTTGAATGTACGTACCAAAAGAATGATGTGGGATTAGAAATTGTTTGCCAAATATGAGTGATTGTTATAGCCAATTCAAGCGACATATTTTATGTTTGTTCTTCGGACATGAATCTAGACATCAGAATGACAATATAGAATGCATCAATAAATAAAATTACGCCGCATATTTGGGCTATAAGCATGATAGCCAACTGACTGTCCATACGGCAATTATGGTTTGACGTTAGACCAACATGACGTTGTTGCTTTCGAATATTGTAAACGATCAGTAAACCGAAGAGAAGCATAAGAAAGGATGCTCCAATGGTAATAAGAAACATGACACTTAGCACATACATTTGTGCGGACGATTCTGTGGACTTAATGTATATAACGTTTTTCGCTAGATGCGAAACATCCATGATGACGAGAAATCCACTCATATATGTGATCGATGAGCCACATATATTACATAGTGAGCGCAACCTAACCGATGACGATGAGACGCAGAAACGATCCACATATGCGAACGGGTGTGGGTGTTGAAGAACTAGATCAGCTTACAACTGACTATAAGAACTACTGCGTTCGATACCTCGAACACTCCAATGCAAAGTTTGTTAATAGGTTCCATGATGGAATCGGGCAGTGAAGTGACACTCAACACAAGAAAGTATTAAGTACATGAAGATGAGCAAAGCAATCGATAAGAAAAACGAAGAAGATGATAACATCATTAGAGAATCGCAGAAAGAGTAAGAAATTCAAATCTTAGATATTCGTCAACTGTTCTATCTCTCTCTCTCTGCTCCTGTAATTTACAAATTATGTTTTTCATTCTAATCGTTCATCTTCTACTCCGTTCTTTTCTTTTATGTGGTAGTACCATGGGTGTGGGTTTTGATCTTCTCGTCATCCAAACACACTCACACCCGCATTCTATAGTTTTCACTCGACTTCACTTAGTGGCCATTTGTTGAGTCGAATGTTATCACCTGAAGATCATCTTGCTTCATACCACTGAGAACTGTATATTTACTTCACTTTCTATTAATAAATTCTCGCCGTATCTAATGTCTGTCATAGATAAGGAAATATTGATCGAATTGATGACTTACGATTAGATATGACAACCATGAATGGCACATCTTTGCGTGACGCATTTACTATTTCTTGTTCAAGAATGAAGAATATGAAAGTATGACTATACTGAGCGAGAAAAAAACTGATTATATGACAACCAAATGGTGTTCAATAAGAGGAAAGAAATATCTTTCTTTGCACGCTACTTTTTTCAACAATGCGAATTGCAGTCGATTCTTTTTGTGTGTACAATTAGAGAATGTCGTTTTCAAAAATCAACTATCAACAACGCATGTACTGCCGATTGTGTACTGAAGTTAATGAGAAGCGTCGCCCATTCTTAGTATAAGCGGCTCACTCAGTTTTGGGTTTTCAACTGAGAGAAATTTTGAATATTGTCAAATTAGTGACTATACTCAGAGTCTGAAAATGAAAGTGCTGTTGAATTAATGATGCACTTCATCCTTTGATATTAAAATTGATATATTCGCTTACCTGGTTCTAAATAGTGACAAATATTAGCGCAAAATAAGCAGCACGCTTCACCTGAGCCGAACATTGCATATAGTCGTACAGGTTTAACGTAGTTGTTGTCAACGTGAGGAGCAGCAAAGGCATGATGTCAGATGCTTGAAGCGATCTTGAAACAACATTCATACCGCTTCAATGAAGTGCTGAGGAGAGAAAACAGTCCACGCATTTTCGAACGGTTGTTCGCTTTGCTTAAAGAAAGTAAATATTATACTTCCTTTTTTTGTTTTCATACGCACAACGACAGCGGCTATGTACATAAATACGTGTCTTAACGTCAAAGTACACTCCTTTTCACAACCATCGATTGGCATTGCTATTACACTAATGCATCTACTCGGAGTCTTCTCTGTTGCAGTTTTGCTTTTGATCAAGAAAGGTGAGCTGTATGACTCTCATGCATTTGCCTTGTTTTCAACGTTCACCATTCTATTCGAAGAAATCTCTTGTTCATGGACAAATCGGGCATTGGAATTTTATTGAAAACAAAATTGAAGACTGGTCGCTTGAACCAAATCACATAATTGATACTAGCGAATCCCAGCGATAAATTTTCAAAGAATGATGATGAGTATAGCCTCTTTTTTCGCATGTTTTCCGCATTTATTGCACACACATCACTATCTGAAGTACTAACGATTGAGCTTATGAAATCAATCACAAAGTTTAGTTCTCGAAGCGTTGTTCTTTTATTAACCGTAAGTCTCCAACTAATTGAAAACTTAGGAAACTATTGAACCAGACTTTTCTAGGAGCCACCTATCAATTCTATCCAGTTGCATAGTATATTTTAAAAGAAACACTACTGTATATTGTCAGACGCATCTCTAAAATATGCTCTACAAGTCCCATGCTGTTGCAATATTCCATGATTTTTATCAGTCGAAAAGTGTAGATTAGAGTCGATGTTCTCCAAACAAACAGCGAAATACAATGACATCCAGATGATAATTGTTCCTCATCTGAAAAATACAATAAATATTATCCATTTCCAAAAAAACAAGGCGGTTGGGCATTTTTTTAATAACTTTTGATAGGAACTAGATAGCGAGGTGCGGTTTTCACCATTACAAAGATAAGACCGGGGCACATAATATGTGCTAAAATACTATTGGTTGATAATGGGCCAATCAAATACATTCTCAGTGGACATTTTGAACCCGTTATTCTGGAGTCATTTTGCAATTTTACTGGATTATGAATTTACTTGTTTTATAGGCAAAATTGTTCTCTATCGATCTACGTAAGGCCGACCTTTCTAGCTAGCTCCGTTGAAGAGTTATAAGGTNTAAACATACATAGAAGATAGTGAAAAGTTTATTTGTCATTCATGCTAGCTATAGAAGGATAAAACTCGTGTTTACTATCACTACAGGATATTGTAATACTGTTACAATCGATTGTGTCGAAATCGATTGCATACCAGCATTTGGTAGCAAGTACAACGAAAGAGATATAACAACAGTAATGTATTACATTGTTCCACATTGGCTTTCATCTCGGACGCAAATTCCGCCTCGTGTAAGTCGAAATTCGTGATTCGCACGAAGTTGATGGACCATGTGTTGTATGCGATGATGCTCATGCATTGGATTGATAAGCCGTCGCGGTCAGGCAGAAACTCTAATAACAAAAAACATAATGATTGGTACGGTTTAGCATTCATTTTTCGAATCGATACTCGATATGATATGCTTTTAATAATGCATTACCTTTGGATAATTACGTATATGAGCTTCATTGATCAAACGATTGTCGTTCCATTGAACGCACGGACTATTTTTCCATAGCGTTTCGCATAGACAGTAAAAGTCTGCGCGACATCGGCAGGTCATATGTTAACAACCCTTGGTTATGGTGGATGTGGGTATGAACACAGCAAAGATGAGCACTCCTACTTTCACCCACACCCTGTCGATGATCAGATGTCTTCTACGGTCTCATTTGTGCATTTAAAATTTCATTCAAGTGTAACAGATCGATATAAAGTTATTCTCAACTTTTATTGACTTTGTTATCAATTAGCAATTGCTTTTTTCGTCAAATAGAAAAGCACAATAAAATATATACAAAAGAAAAAGAAAAAGCATCTAGTCCACCAAATCTTCATTGCTGTTCGGATCATTTTGTTGAAAATTATCTACTGATTGATGTGTTGAACGACTAAAAAATATTGAACATCAAGTTAAATCAAATAGAAACCTTGAAAAATTTGCCTATTACGAGATGATATGGCACATTCAGTTGATATACTGGCGATGTTGAACTAAAAGCAAACAAGTCTTAGTTATTGTTCAACATGAAAACTCATCAAAACAAACGTATAGCGAGATGATAATTGAGATGGAGAATATATTGATGCGCTTGGACTAGAAATACAAGAAAAATGTTTTTTGAGATTCGAAAAGAAACCATTTAGGCACCTGTATTGTGGTGACGTGCGTGGTAAGAATAGATCAATGACGCGCTATTTCTATCATGGTCACGCGCTGCAAACGTCGGTGATGTTGGACTTTCAAAGGAAAATTATTCGTGAAGTACAGCAATCAAAAGAAACAAAAGTAATGTTTACTGAAAGACGAACTCGATGAAGAATACATTGGACTTTGAGAGTAATAGCTCGATAATGATGGAGAATAATGTAAAGTAACATAAAGAATATGCCTCTTACATAGAATCGCTGGATATGTTGAAGAATTTAATGTAAAAAAAAGAAACTGACTGTCGCAAGGACTGGTTGATGAATAGAAGGATGATGTTGATCCTTGTTTTATAGAAGCATATAAATAAGTAGGACTGGTGGTTGGATTATACGATGGACTTGTTGAGCTATGTAACAAATCAATCAAACAATGAAAAGAAATAAAACGAAGATGAATACCTATAAGGAATCGATTTCGATCCATTGTGATTTGATGCACTTGAACCATAGTAGTCTACGCTTGAGCTAGGTGAGTATCTTGATGATTGCACAATGATCATTAGTGGTGACTGAAAATTGTACGAAGCAAGATTTGTAGATGACAATGGTGACTTATGACCTAGTGAAGTCATCGAATAGTCAAGTGAATAGTTAGATAAAATCTTCCAGAGTCCATTAGCGTCATTGGAGTTGCTCCTGATGCATGATAAGATTCGTGTGATGGATTAATCGACATCGAATCAATCCAAGGTGTTGATGTAGTTAAACGTTGTTTATTATATTCTTCCATGGTATCTTGAGACATAAATCCTTGAAAACTATCGATGCCAATTGTTCTAGTAGAATACTTTCTGAAAAATCTTTCAATGGATCGTATTCAGAATGAGCTGATGCTTGTATTAACACATCGACTGTTTCTTCAAATGAAAATTTTATTATTATTGGACTGAGATCTTCTAGATTAATTTCATCTCGAGTAATAGACATAAAATATACTTTTTTTTATTATTACATCACATAATAAAGCCAAATGACGATTGTTAACATAGGATTCATCAAATGAAATAACATGATCTATCTCATATTCCATCGCTTTAGATACACCTTCAATACCAATAACTTTGAAAGTTTCAATAATATCATTGATATATGTTTGACAATAATCAGCATCTTTCATTGAGATAAAATCTCTCAGTGATGTTCCATTAGTCACGAAGACACATTCAGCTACTGGTTCAATTTTACCGTTTTCATTAATAATAAATTGTTTTTTCTAATTATATTGAGTATGTTTTTTGGATCAACGAGATAGACTTTCGAAATCGATTTAATTCCTAATGAGAAAAATGTAGTAGATGAGAAGAAGAAAAAGAATAAGAAAAATCATATTTAATCTTTCAATGTTAGATTGAAGAGCATCATATCTTCGGTATATCGAAGAAAAATTGCATCAATATAATTGATTTGTGTCATTTTCTTTCAGTGTTTCATCAATATCAATTGTTGATATGAGCTGATCAACAATTCTTGTACGTAAAAAAAGTTCTTCTGCATTATCATCACTGAATATAACATTGAAATTATCACCAAAACTTTCTGAAATCTTCTCAGATATTTGTTCTAGTGTCAAGTTTTTATTGATGATTTTCTTTGGATCAAGAAAGTTTTGAAATATTCTCATTAGATATTTCATAATAAATATCAACCCATTGTTGATCTTCTTCAATGATTGTTTCCTTTGGATTAGGATCATAATAGATGCTTGTATTAGCTGTTATTTTTCCTAATGAACAATGTTCAACATGGAATAAGACTTATTTATATCTGCTGATATCATTCGCTGTTTGATCGGCAAGAAAAATGCTCATTGGTCTTGTTTTGGAAAGATTAATAATTTCTTTGAGACGAGGAACACCGAGTATGACATTTTTAGCTGACACACCAGCATAATGAAATGTATTCAATGTCATCTGTGCAGCAAGAACACCAACCATTGTACTTGGCTAAACTTGAGCTTGTTGAAAACGCGTTTCAATTTCTCCACATAACCAATTAAATGCTTCTGTAGTCAGATGATGAACTTGTCGTGAACAAAGTGATGAACTAATAAGAATATTCATCAACGTAGTGGCATTATGTTGCGCTTCTTTAGAAGGACCATCATTACCTTTGATAAAGAGGGTGTAGTGGTAGCTGTGAGATTGTTGCTTCTTTTCGCACTAACGTCCACACCCATTCAAATCAATGTTGAACTTTGAGGAAACGAACACTAGACTTGTACATGAATGGATAATTAGTAAAATGACTTGTTGAATGCTATAGAGACCAGGTAGATACTAAGCAAGGATCCATTTATCGAGCTACAAGTCCGGATATACAACAGTCGTGGACCAAGAGCTCTTTAGATTGTATATAATATATTCTCGCTTGATATCGTTTACACTAAATCGAACTAAAACTACTACATAAAATTGAATTTTCAGGTGTTATAGTCAATTCGACGATTTTCATTGGGAAATTTTGTTTATCAATGATTTTTTCAATATTCTTTTGATTAACAACAAGTTCTATTCAACTGGGCGACAGTTTTCGATTTGTGAAACATTAAATAGTGGAAAAGAGAACAACAAGAAATAACTATACTGTAAAGAAAATAAGGGATGGAGTGTTTTGTTACTACTGCAGTATTTATTTTATTGTGATTAGGCTTGAGAAACTGAAGGAATAGCGTTACCGCTATCTTCAGTATACTACATTCACTACACTGCTCCATCATTCTAGTTCTGTCCGTTTCTTACAGAACACGAGTTTATATACGAGAGAGAAAACAAGGAGAAGAGTGAAATTAGAAAAGACAAATGCTTTCCCATCAATGAACCAATTGAAGATGCACATAGGCCGTGACCTTATTATCGGCATATATATACACGTATATATTGACTTTTATAAGAAAAAAGTCAACAAATAGCTAAAATTTTGCTTCTTTAATTATTCATATAGATACAAGTTGCTGGTAATTAGTGAAAAAATGCCTCTGGTTTGTGTCCACACTCACATCAACCCACAACTTTCTATCTTCATGTGTTGAGAGAATTCTCAGCAGACTTGCCAACCAAGATCTTCTGACATAGCGGTAACAGAATATCCGACAAAGTAACCTACTCTCTGTCACCTAACCCACTCTGCAGGTATACTGAACATAATGTATTCAGTGCGGGTTTATGATTGTTCAAGTTTAATGTTTATTTTTTCTTTATATTTTGAAAGAAGAACTATAACAATATATTGTTTAAGATTGTCAAGTAAATCAGATACGCATAAAAAATTATTAGGAGAAAGACATCATGAGAAGCAATCAACACTTCATCCATTAGCTCCTATTTCCATTTTCATTCGTATTCATATCATGACCAATAGATATAGATGTGCTAGTTATATTGAATGTTTTTTCTTGCGCTCGCTTTTCAATTTCACGTCTTATCCATTCATGCTGCAATAGAATTGGTAAACCAGGATTCAGGCTTAATGTGTCTGGTAGTAATAGCTTTGGTATATTTCCAAAGTCAACGATGGCTTTGATAAACATAGTATCATCACGAACGTAGGGATTGCCATCTTGTTGAATCATTGTCAGTGACACAAATTTCGGTATACCAGACGCTATATTCATATCTGATCGGGGCCTTTGAAAGCTACTGGATTTCACATCAGGCCGAAATGAATCGATAATATGTCGTTGCTGAGATGTTTGATCGATTAGACAAAAGATCACCTTGAAATTGAATGGAAATTCAAGGATAGCATCATACTCTCCACGCATAAGTACGAAGAAAAGTGACATATGAGTGCGTCTAGCGTTACCGTCGCCGGCCAAATAGAGACGAAGTCGCATTTTATAACCGTTCGGTGATGAATAGAATACAGGAGAATAAACAGATACCTGACGTTCGCACTGAGCCTCAGCTAAAAAATTCGAAAAACAAAATATAGGCAGGAAAAACTCTATGTTATTGTTCGTTTGAATTCCATTCTGAGACTAATCAATGTTGTCTTTTTTTGTCAAATAAGACTTGACTATGAAAAACAAAATTCTTTTTAACAAACCTATTTTTTGCTGAACATTTGTAATTTTCCACATAAGTTTACCATCAGTGGAAATATTTTTTTGATCTTCAAGTTGCTGTTGAATTGAGGTGAGGCTTTCTTCAAGTATCTGTTGATTGGTTTGATGAGTATTGATCGATGAATGTGTTTCTTCAACGGCGATTTTCAATTTTGATAACTCCTCAGGCAAAGATCGAAGCGAAGTTTCATGACGAAGTGACTCTGAACTGAGACGTTGAGTATCATCAGTTAACGCACTAACACCACCCAACAACATATCCGTTGTTTCCAATAATTGTTGGAGATTTCGATTAAAAGTCTCATCGGTTCCTCTATCGGTAGTTATTGTTGTATGAGAAGATATTACTGATTTATCATTTATCTGATGTTGAGTATTTTTACAAAGATATTGAAGTAAAACGCTTTGATGTTGTAAGCTTAGAAAATGGTCTCTTATATTCATACGAAGAAACTAAAGAAAAGGATCCTCAATGATTAACAATCATAAAATAAAAATTTCTTAAATACCTGCTCATTACAACCATATGGTTCTAGAACACAATTGATAGGAGTTTTTTCACAGATTGATATGTGTTGAGTAAGAGCATTGACTGTGCTGAACTTTTTACCACAATGTTCACACAAAGGATTCAAATGAACTTCATTTAAATGTTCCTGAGAAATAGAGAACAAATAAAACATAACAATAGTTAATAGAAAAAGAAATCAAATAATATTACTTGATAAGTCTTAAAAGTTCCGTTCCAATGGCAAAGTGAGCAACTAATATTTAACCTTTCCATATCAAGCTGGCAACCTCGATCAAGAATTATCTTTAAATCAAACAAGACGTATTAAACGTAATTGTAATGATAGACAAGAAAAAGGCTTATCTGTCTTACTTTATCACTTGATGAAACCGTATTGCATATGTGACATTTGACTATAGAACTTCAAATAAAAAAACAATCATTTAAAACTAATTGATAACTAGAAATAAGAAAAGAAATAAATATGCTTACTGTTCATTAACATAAACACATGATCGACAAAAGCGATGTCCACATGTCAGTTGAACAGGATTTCGTAATAAGTATGTACATATAGCACAGATATATGTTATTAGAGAATCTTTATTTTTAGCATTGAATCCCACTAGTCTGTTAAGACACTGCAACAAAAAAACGACAAAATTATAATTGTAAGAATGATAAATTTCAATTCATTAATAATCAAATATCAATCACCAGTGATAATGATAGACACTCTGCTTTTGAGATTGGATCATGTTCACCGCACATTGTAATTCTAAAATAGAAACTAAATAAATTTCTTTTATTGAATAGTTCATAATAACATCAACTGATCCGTAACTTAATATGTATATAGGATTTAAACCATGGAATCAATACCTTTTTCTTAGAACTAGTCTCGAGTGTTCTCTTTTTATTCAAAAGTTTACCCGAAGACAATCTAAAAAGCATCGAAGACGAAAATAAAATACGAATTTGTCTGATTAATTTTCCCTGAACATGATATGTAAACATGACAAACATGTATTTAATATAATAGGTATGCATTGTATTGAGATAATGTTTCAGGACTAATTTCAACTATTTGTATGGTTATTATGATCGAAGAACATTCAAGAATGAAATCTTTTTAAAATGAATTAACTCTCTTTTAATGATTTGAACACTTTTCACAATGCACTTAACCAGTTATTTTAAATAAATATTAGTAGAACCTTTTGTTTTATCTTATTTGTCTAATAAGCGAAGTACAACAATAAAAAAAAGATTTTGTTTTATTTGCAATGGTTCAATGAAACCTGCATTCTATAAATTTCGATTGAGATCTGATCAAGTTAACTTTAAATAGATTAGCAACTAGATATAATGTATCATTTCGTCGTATATAGGCAGATTCACGATATGTGTCTCTAACATATACGTATATATATGTCGATGTCCAATGTCAGATTGAAGTAGCAGTTTTCGCTAAAACATCCACAAGTCCTCTGATAGCGGTATGATTAGTTTTTGTCTTGGGAGAGTTGTGCAGAAGCAATAGTATCCCGAATAATACAAGTGTCGATGGAGAAATAAAAATATGACTCAGGAAGTTATGAATAAGTTTCTATAGAATAGCAGCTTTTGCCGATAATTATCCGTAAGTTTTTGAAATCCATACTTAATTCATACATTGATGATTGTAATATCTGAAATACCGTTGTCTCAACACATTTCACCAATAAGGATTTCAATTTAACATATATCTAGGAATTAATCGAGGTATGTTCAGATTTTCAAAAAAGGAAATTACCCAAATTTCTGAAATTTCCATCGGCTCGATAATTATATAGTAGTGTAAATCAAAAGTTTTTAAACATATTGGCAATTTCATAAGCTTTAGAAATTTCGGAAATTACATCATTTTAGGAAATAACGTACAATTCAGAACACAAATGTTTGAAATCTCCGAAACTTCCGAAATTTCCTTTTTTGAAAGTCTGAACACTGCTGGGTGGATGTCGGTGGGGCGTGGGTGTGGCTGCAACTAACGTGCACATCCATACCCCATTTTTTCACATTCACGTTTGTCATATATATCACGATCAGTGAATATCGATCTGGCAGGTTGCATTTTGTTTTCAAAAAATATACACTCTCATTCTTAAGTGCGTCATATGAAACCTATCTTTATATGCAAGTATGTATCACACTTCCGTGAAACCCTATGGAAGTGACTCAATTCCGATCTGAAGACTTCCTACATGTAAAGTACACCGTATAAAAAGGTTTCTTTTTATCATGAAAAAATTCAATCAATCTAAATTCATTAAGCAGAGGGTGGGAAAGTAGAAAGTTCGCATATCACTTGTACTTCTACCTTCAATGATTGAAAATTATTTATTCTTAGTCAATAAAACTTCCAACATTTTTTAAACTTTTTACTACTTCTATGAGACATACATCCTATTCACTCTACTCCCATCGGAGTCAAGCAATATTTTTACAGGTTCGGGAAGTCACGGTAAGAATATGTGATTCTTTAGTGGGAGAAAAATTAATTTTACTTGCCTTGTTTTCACAGGATATATTGATTGATAGAATACTTCAAGTCTAAGAAATATTAATCTGAAAAGAAATCATAATTGCGAAATAAATTAAAGAATATTTTCTTTCTTCCTAAAGATAAAGTCATCTATTATAAAACATGATTAAAAATAAATAAACATTCATATTATGTTGAATACAATAAAAAATATAGATGAGAAATTTTCCTTCATTTCATTAGAACAGCTCAGTATGCTATTCGATGCGCACATGTCGTTTATTCTAATCAACCCACAACTCTATATAGGTTTATGAATAATACCTAGGTATAGTAATATTCAAGTGCACAAATAAAAACATTTGAGCGAGAGAAAAATAATCAAAGGACAGAAAGGAAAAAATACATATGAAATAACAAGAAGAGAAAAATCACAACATGTAGAAGAAGGTCCAAGATGAATAAATGAAAACAGCAGATTGCAATACTTCTTAACAAACATAAATATTTATACGAGAGTAATGTATAGCAATTATTATGTCTAATGAAAGTTTGCTAGCAGTTGTGTAGATATTACTGAAATTTGATCAATGACTGTTTTGAAATTGTTTTTACGCGTGATGCCTTGTATGAAGAAATTTTTGAGTAGTATTCTTACTTCGGTATTTAAATTTTCTGTGAGACGAAGCACTTATAATCGAAATTATAAAGGATGTTTCGGAAGTCCTGAAACGATTTTAAAATTCACCCTTCTCTCATTCTACAAAAGCGAATTCGTTGAAACTTTGGTAGATTGTTGTACATGCATAGTACTACATAACTACAAAGTTTGAGGTCGATAGATTGTACTATGGATGAGAAACTGTAACAACACCGACATGTACTATTTTTTAAATTTTCCTGGTCATCTTCGGGGTGTGCAACATTTTTTTTTACTTCATCTATATTTTGGCTTAGGTACATGATAAAATCTTGAGTTTTTCTATAAAAGATGCGACGTGGAAAGCTCTACACAAACTGCAATAAAAAATTCCTACTGACTTGTGTTAATGGCTTCTGCCATACTCAAAATGAAAAACCTACATGGTATTACTACTTCTCACTATATTGTGCGTAATAGAAAAAGGTTTGGAAGACTTTTTTGCTTTCCAATAGGAATTAGTTTATGCAACTTTTGTAGAGCTTTCAACGGTGCATCTTTTGAAAAAAAAATCAAGATTTTATCATCTACCTAAGCAGAAATATAGATATTTTGGCAGACCCGGAATACAGGAAAATTTAAAAAATAGTACATCATAGTGTTGTTACAGGTTCTCCTCTATAGTACGACCTACAGTTCTCAAACTTTAGTTATGTGGCACTACATATTGCAATAATATGCCAAAGTTTCAAAGAGTTTACGTTTGTTGAATGCGAGAACGATGAATTTTAAAATCGTTTCAGAACTTCCGGAACACCCTTTATGAATGTGACTCAGTATTATTCTAGGAGCCTCGAAATTTTCTTGTAATGTAGAGATGATCACTGAAATTTCCCAGAAATCTACTTCAGCTGTCTTAATCACTTTAGAAAATCACCTGGAAATTGGAATATTTTCAAAAGATCGTCTCGCTTGCTTCAATGAAAATTATAGTAACTTCCGAACTTTCTTGCTGACATGATTTATCTGAGAAAGCAATTTCTTACATATAATTATACCCAAGGAAAATTTTAATTTTTGCAAACCTAAGCACTAATGGTTTTTATACCTATTTTGATGCTCGAGTGAGGCCTTAGATGCATATCTGTCTATGTTTGGTGTATACGTGGCAGACGAAGGTGTGGGCGTGAGTGAACAGAAGACTGACACAAAAATTCATACCCACACCCTTCAGGTCGAAACTCTCTATTTTTAGTTTTTCGGAAATCCTTTGCTGTCTGAAAAAACTTCATTGAAATCGTCATCTTTCGTGGTCCGAATCTAGCTAAACATATCTTAGTCTTATCGAGATCTAATCATAACCATAATATACAGTCGAGTGACGTCCGATAATTGGCTATATTCGAATAAACTCACAATAGTGTGAAAAAAAGTCATCGTTCAGATAATTTTGGAAGGATGAAAACGTGATTTTGTGACTTTACAAGTGTTATACGAATAAATCAATCTGACATAAAAAACACTATCAGTAGTATTTGCTCTTAAAACCTTTTATGTATTGATTATTCTTTGTTGATAGCAAACACTAACTATTGATGAATCTATATTGTCAGATAAAAAGAAATTTTTGTATTCCTAAATTTTCCAATGTTAATAACATTTCGAAAGAAAAAGTTCCGGGAAAAATTTTTCAAGTGTATTTCTATCAAGAATAAGCATCTATGTATATCCACTTGGTTTAAAAAGTAATGCAAAATAAATTCTTG